CGCCCCTATCCGATGTTATCCGAAACTCTTATTTCGGATTCAGTTACGGTTACGGATATTTTTTTATATCGGATATCCGATAGTTTCGGTTACGGTTATGGATCTCCCTAACATCCCTGTTCTATACTAAGCAGAGCGTGTGTTATGGGTACTAGACAGCTCATATAGACACTTTTTTGTAAATACAAACATATTATACATAGAAAACACCCAGACTGATACCGTTTGTGGTTATACTTATGAATAGAAATGTTTATATAGTGTGTAGGTTCGAATCCGCGACCATCTGAAGAAAAGCGGTGTGCTAACCCGCTAAACCACTGAGGTGAAATCATACAGACATACTTATATAATTTATACCTACTAAAATAATTATTTATACTAATATTATAAAGAGGTAAACATAGGAGCGGAGCTGCAAGGAAAAATATTGTAAAAACTCATAATACATTAGCAGATGAAGTTAAATTAACGTAAGGTGTAATAAGACGGTTTTTTACAACAAGAAGCTTATCAAAAACAATTTGTACCTCTAAGGTAGATATATTATGTATACATATATATATATATATATATATATATGTCTTTCGAAAAAGTCAAAACTCTTTTATGGGAAATGGTATAAAGTTTTACAGTAAGATACCAAAGGATATACTGAAATTACCTTTAATAAATTTAAAACATCTGATAAATATATTTAATGAGAAAAACGCACTAAACGATTACTTAAATCACAAACTTGCATGGCAATAGTTGTTCACGTATGTTGGGGTTTTCATTTAATGTTAAACAGACAGCAATAAAGTACAAATGTAAATAGATGGGCTTTAAAAAAACCAGTTCAATTTCTTGCCAGTTCATATCAATGGAATTTGTATATTGAACTGGACGGTAGAGAAAAAATATGCTTAAAAACTTGACGTTCATAAGCGGCTAAAATGTCATATATGTGTTATAATATTTATGAGGACATTTTTATTATACACTAGCTACTCCCGCAATTTCGTCCGCGTGGAATAAACTTTATTTTTCTAAAATAAAAGTAACATAAGTAATGTTACTGTTGAAAAATAAAGTTAACCAAAAGTTAAAAAAAAAGTAACTCCTTGTTACATCAGCTACCTGCCAAAAAAGTCCCGTCAAAATCGGTCCAGCCATTTCAGAGATTAGCCGGAACGAACAGACCGACAGACAGACGAAAATTGTAAAAAATATTATTTTGGTGCATGTACCGTATTTATATTCATGTGCATGTAGTAAAAAACGATTATTTCAATATTACAGACTCCAATGTTATTCATATGTATAGATATAGATATACAATTAATGAAACTCACATAAATATGTAATAATCTCAGTGAATACAGTTAATTAAACAATTAAAAAACACGTAAACTAAACAGCACATATACTTATAAATAAGAGATGTTAGCAGCTGGAAGAGACAACTATTTTTGCATATCTCAGCTGAGTACAACTATTTTTGCATATCTCAGCTGAGTACAACTATTAATATTATCCATTTGTGTTTCAATTCTCAGTGACATTGATTAAAATTTTCCTGTAAGCATTTAATTAATGTAACTCAATTTATTCGTGACAACCTTATCCTTATTAACCTTTATTTATACTAGCAAGAAATGAAATAAATATCACTTCATTTCATTTCAAGCGGCCCCGGTACGCACGGGCCAAATATTAATGTACATGGAAAACATATGAGGTAACTATTTTTGAAGTAATTTATTAACGTAGTACATTCAAAAACATTTACGCCAATCTCAGAAATGGATTAAGTGATTTGGTTATGGTTCGAGGATGTATAAAAAAAGAGGTATAAAGTTCTTGTTTCATGTGTTAATGCTATGAGACCCGGATGCTTCGATATAAGTTCACTTTCTTGTACCTGCCTTATATAAAAATGAGGAAATTTACATTTGTTGTAAATATCAACCGGCGACCATGATCTTATGTCGCTGGTTGGTTATTTCGTGGTCATATTTAAGTATAGTTTTATAATTTTAAAAGCTTTTTTCCTTCATTTTTCCGGGTGAAAGAATTTCATTAAACGGCCTTCATGACAATTAAAGAAGTACAAAGTAAATCACTTCCCAAACGATTACAGATTTACTTGAAGAAATGCTTTTATAGGACACTAACTATAATCTGTGGCTTCGTCTACTTTTTTGTGTTAAAAAGTAACCTAAGTCTTTTCTCGCGTTACTACTATATTCACGTCAAAAATTATTAAAATCTGTTCAACTATCGAATTGTGAAATAAGAATAAACAGACAGATAGATATACATTCGCATTTATATTATAACTAGCTGTCGCGGCAAACGTTGTTTTGCCTTAAAATAAAAAAAAATTAGGGGTGGACTACCCCTAACATTTAGGGGGATGAAAAATAGATGTTGGTCGATTCTCAGACCTACTCAATACGCTAACAAAATTTCATGAGAATCGGTCAAGCCGTTTCGGAGGAGTATGGGAACGAAAACTGTGACACGAGAATTTTTTATATAAGATTAATAGTAAGGAATGGATATAGAAGACTCCACGATATGCTCACACTAATATACTATATTTAAAAAAAATGGGATTAATGGGAAGGATTTTGTGACTATACATTTGAAAGTTACATGTCCATATGATTTTCTGCTGTAATCCTATTACATTTATAATATTACATATTAATATCTCAGGCCAATTCACACAGCGCCATCTAGTCCCAAGCTAAGCAGGGATTGTGTTATAAGTATTAGACAACTATATACTAAGATACATTTTATAAACGTACTTGTTATATATATAAAACTCCTAGACCAACACACAATCATACTCATTAATACAAATGTTTGTACAGTGCGAGGAATCGAACCCGCAATTTTTGGAAATTAGCTGCGGTATATAACATACAACATAACAGTGCATTACACCGCTAAACCACTGATGCCGGTACTTCGGTACTGAGTTATAATTAACAAAATGGAACAAATAAATGTAATTAAATGTTATTATTCTATTGCCAGCAGGTTGTAAGCCATGATCTTATTTTTAGAGAGAGATACTATGAAATTACATCTCTTACAGGCTTCTCTCTTAATATTTGAGAAAACAATACCTACACTATATATGACTTAGAATAAAGTCACACATATATTTCAAACAAAATACAAATCTCTATTTTGAACAACCAATTTAAACCAAATCAAGAATAAACAAAAACACACATTAAACAAACAAAAAAAAAGAAATGACAAACAGTGATTAAACCAAACCAAATCATTAGATTTGGTTTAATCACTGTTTGTCATTTCTTTTTTTTTTGGTTTAATCACTGTTTGTCATTTCTCTTTTTTTTGTTTGTTTAATGTGTGTTTTTGTTTTTTCTTCTACTGAATAAATATAATTTCATTTAATTTCATTTGATATGGTCAAATGGAAAGAAATTGATTATTTCGAAGGTGGACACATGAAAAACCTGAACATTAATATTAACACGTTCAAGAATAATATTTACAATGAGTAAATAAGCTTTCAAAACAGTAAACATATGTATTATGTATATCTAATACAATCATACATCAATACTCCAAATGTTTACATAAGTAGGTAGTTCATGTTTATCTGCATAAATATTACAGAGAAGAATTGTAAGAATATTAGATAATTTTTTTTTATAAGCTGTCATTAGCCAGTAGTATAAGCGATGTATCCTGGTTGATCACGCCTTTACAAATATTCTGGTACATTATATTTGAAGAATAGATCTGAATATCTATCTATCTATCTAATATAGTATGATCTGTCTATAACGATCTGTAAGCATTTTAGTATCATCTAAATCTCAGTGCAAGATTCTGGAATCTGCATTTATTTCCATGCATGTTTATATTATACTAGCTATCCCGACGTCGTTTTGCCATATAAATAAATAAATAAATAATATAAATAAACAATTTTGCCCAAAAAATAAAAAAATAATGTTAGGGGTGGACTACCCTTATCACACAGGGGTATGAAAAATAGATAGTAGCCGATTCTCAGACCTACTGAATATGCATATAAAATTTCATAAAAATCGCTCAAGTCGTTTCAGAGGAGTATGGTAACTATCATTGTGACACGAGAATTTTATATATAAGATAAGATTAGCTGATCTCGCAAACGTTGTTTTGCCATATAAATTCAATACGCTATTAAAAAATAGGGGTAGGTGATAAAGTGGTAAAAATTTAGTGTCGTGTGTTTTAAATGGAAAAAATAAAATATTGTCCATAACTAAAACCAAAATTTTAGGGGTGGCCAATCCCCCATCTCGGGGTATGAAAAATAGATAGTAGCCGATTCTCAGACCTACTCAATATGCATATAAAATTTCATAAAAATCCGTAAAACCGTCTCGGAGGAGTATGGTAACTAACATTGTGACACGAGAATTTTATATATGAGATTAGTGCATAAATGACTTCCATACTTACTTACTTAGACTTCTACCCTCTTATGTATTTTATAAAAACGCAAATCTTAGAATGAACATATTATGTGTACTTTCTACTTTTCGCCCTGTATTTTTATTTTAAAAGAAAATTCCTATATCTGTAATAGTTAAAATGGGTTTGTAACAATTTTTGATTTTATATTTCATATGGTTAGTTTTTACATGTAATGTATTACGAGATTTCACCGCTAATTTTGGATCGATTTTGATTATCCTTTATACAGTCCTTAAAATATAATTCTGTGTTTTTATTAAAAAATAATATAAAACTGTATAAACTTATATACTAATTGTCAATGCCACGACAGTAGTCGATTTCTGTAGCAGAAAAAAATATCAATTACCTACATCTACCGATTTCCTAACTAGCTCATAGTGCATAATAATGACAATACGTTTTCTGCGCAATAATGCAGTTTATTATTCCACTGTATTCTCTAATGAAATAATCATAATTACCTGCAATTAATTTGTCATTACAATTACAAAACTTACCGTTCATTGTCGAACTGGATTCACTATCACATATAGTTCATAAAAACACAATCTGTTCACAAGCACTGTCACTGAAGAACTGTATCAATATTTTGTGACATAAAAATATAGTTGACAAGTTTCTTATCGAGATTACTTGCTCTTGCTCATCGACTAACCGCCTCCGGCTGTCTACCGTGCGGCTCTTGCGTTACAAGACAAATGCTTGAACCTGCGCGGGCGCAATGATAATAAACAATCAGACCGCGCTGTAAAATATAAAAACCTTATGTTAGTATAACACGTGCGTAAATTTCTTGAGAGTCGTTCGACCTTTGCTGTGATCGCACAGATGGACCGTGGACGTGTTTGCGTATACGTAAATCGAGAATTATTATTGTTTGTTTGTATTTGGGAAGTTTTAATCATAGATTTTATTTGACAAATATAATTTAAACCTTGGTGATCACTAATTACTTCACAAATAGGTAGTTAAATGATCACTCACGCTTTGGCGATCAATTTGATATGAAAATTTCATGTTTTTGTTGATGATAATTGAATGGTGATTCAGGGTCTGCTGGTGATGAAGATTATGTGATGAGGATGTCAAGTCGATGATGATTTCACCATAAAATAAAAACCATGACATTGCGGACATGTGGACATGTGGTCCGCCATAAAAGGTTACTTATATTGCAAGTAATTGGGCCCTTTTCTCTCATTGTATTTTAAGGATATACTGTACATATTGTACCATAAATAAATAAATAAAAATAAGTATTAGTCACTACTAGATGTAATGACATCTCCCACTTTGTGATAACTACAACTACTACTTTGTGATAAAAATAAATAGAAAATTAACATGGCAGAAAATCACTATTTGTGAAAATGGGTAGGGTATATAATGTGAACAGACGTTCGGTTTTAAATGGGATAGTCCCTTTTTAGAAAGACGAGTCCCGCTGTATCCGAAATGAATTCTGAGACGCAAAATTGTCCCGTTTTTGGTAACTATGCGAAATTTTGAGTAGACGAGCCGGTTGTTGGTAATTAAGGTGAGTTTAAAAAAATGTGCCAAGAATATCATTCTTTCTTAAAAGCAAATTTGTTCATCCAATAAATATAACTCGTCATTGCCTTGCCTTTATCCCATTATTTGGGGTCGGCGCGGTATGTCATTCTCTTACACTGCTCTCTATCGGTCACCATATCTGAGCATACTCTTCTTTTATTCCTATCATCTTTCACACAATCCATCCATCTTTTTTAGGACGTCCCCTCCCTTTACATCCCGATAAATATAACTATGACTAAACAAAATGTTTAATTATATCTATCGGGTATACTTTTTAATTCGTAACTTTTTAGCTAACTTGTTCTGGATGGATATTTAAAAAAAGAGTTTGTCATTTATTATCTGACGTAAATACACCGATGTCCCGTTTTGAGTCGAAGAATAAATGGTCAGGTTAGGTATATACTACCCATTTTTACAAATAATGTATTTCACCATATTTACTTTTAACATCGTTTGTCCATCGATGACTAACAATATAATATACAACCAAAATACAAAACCTGGAATGCTGAAATTGATATATATAGGTTTATTGTCACATATATTTTAAGATTTTACTCTTTTTTTTATAAAAAAAATAATCTCATTAATATTTACAATTATCACTAATATCTATAGAAGTAATTGTTGATGTCCTTGTTAAAAGTACATTTTTTTTCTTTGTACAGTGACAATGATTAATACGAGTATATGAATTAATAATCGTACCTTAATAGTTATAGATTAAGACAAAAAAATATATTCCGATTAGAATATCATTAAGAATTCAAATATAACTATAATATGCTTACGAATTGTAAAACATTTTTGCGTATAATTGTAGTTATTTTTAACGAAGTATCTAATCGAATGGTTTGCCTGCATGTGCTGGCGGTATATACTGCCGTGGCAACAGTGAAGAATGATAAGCATGAAGTAAGGTCAGTTAGCTCATAGAGGCGTATTTTTTTCGGATTTCTCTAATGCTGTTAACCTCAGCCTTTACAGCTTCACTGGACGATAGCGGGTGAATGCAGATGGCACTACAAACCCGCGGAAGGACTTATGGAGTCTGAAGACCCATTCCCGCCTGACGGATTCGACTGAGGGCAACGATATTCGAACCTCGGCTCAAGCCAACATCTTTTAAAAGATAGTAGAAATATTTCGCTGATATACCTCTCGCTCCCACTTTGACTACATATAAATAAAATAAAAGCCATAAGGCCATTTTTAGTTTTACTCTCCCTGCCCAATCAAACAATCGAAAAAATTGTTGTATTAGATTTTCGTAGAAGTTCCTGAATATTTTCAAAGGTATGTTACTGAATCCGCTAAACAATGGATTCAAAGACTAATAAATACAAATATAATTGATTAGAAGTAATCATCCGTGCAGGTATAAAAAATATTGTGGTATGAAGTAAGAAGGTAAAATTATGGAGTGACATTGTTTTGTTATTATTTTATTTATGTCAGGCTACTAGTCAATAAATATGAATAAATATTATAATATATTGAAATTGTTTGTGTGGTCACGGCACTAACGACAGTAATCTACCACGATACTACCAATCTACCACGATGGCGCCTTCGGCGCCCTACGGTCAGCAGTCCACCTTCTTGAAGGTGGGCAGCATGTTGGTGGTAACCCGGGCTGGGTCAGCCTCAATGTCAGATTACACCTGATCATAATGTTCTGCTCCTTGCTCTTTCTTCCTTAAATAAATAAATAATAAATATTATTATTAGAAAGAAAGAAAGAAAAATATTTTATTCAATGTAATGTAAAAAATACAATATTAAACGTGATGATTTTGATTGACAATAATGAAATGGCTTATTGAAGACAGTGGAACCATCAGCGCAGGCTACCTACGCTGACGGTTTACACTGGTGCACCAGTGGAGGATGATAAGATGAACACGAGGTCAGGTCAATTAGACCATCGCGACAAATTTACTAGAAATTTAACATGATGGTTTCATGTTAAATTCCTAGTGAGTTCCTCAGGGGGAACCAGGACCAGGAGCAATAGCTATTAATAGAAAAAGGGTATGAACTCAGACCAGCCTGTTGTGGCAAATTCATGAGGAATTAAAGACAAAAGTTTCCAGGGCGATAGCAGTAATGACTACCCAGCCTGTCATATACATAGACAGCAGTGGAGCCAAGAACTGCTATTACTGAAATCCCTCCCCCCAACCATGGACTAGTACAGAATAATTAAAAAAACATCTTCATCAAGCCAGTTGCTTACAAAAGGTTTACGTAATAGTTTTCAATGGCGAGAAGTGCAAGTCATTTCATTGACGACGTGTATCGTCAACATTCGGCATTGAATATTATTAACTTCAAAAATTGCAGGAGTTTGCTTGATTACGTAACGTCGTTGCTAACAATTATCATTTATCTAAGAAATTATCGGTTTTGCACTGATATATGAATCATTTGCTAGTTGTAGTTGCATATCATATACTCGTAATTGTACTTATTTCTCTAACTACTAAGTGGTTCAATGTCAATATCGATTTGTTTAAATTAGTATTAAAATTTAATTGAAAAAACTTTAATTCAAATAAATTTTATCAAACTTATATATGTACTGTTGATATATACGTAAAATATAGAATAAAAATCTTGGAATTTCAGATAAATGTCGATACTGAAATCAACGTTAAATCTCGTGACGCTTCTATTTAACTGTCAAAATTGTATAAAGTTTATTTGTGCTTCTGTAATGTTAAATTATAATTCTTCTATAACAGCCACTAATCAATACCAATATTGATTGGTGGCTGTTATAATAAAAAAAAGCATGATATTTGTCTGTCAAGTTATTTTTATGTTTACTTATTTGTTTCCTTGCTTGCAATTTATCATTACATTACTATATGTTTATACTATCTGTCAATTTAAGCGTTAGGATATTGTTACAGTCAAAATAATATTATATTTCTAAAAGGCAGGTAAAATACTTACGTATTTCCTCTGCGAGCATATATAGAGCTGTAATAACTTAACTCACCTAATGGTGAGTCCCAAGTATGTTTAAAATAATTTAAAAAATGTCAATTCACCAGAGGTAGTCTTTACAGAAAGTCGTCGTTGCGTGTATACTTGTTATATACACGCAACGTCTTCTTTCTGTAAAGCTTTTTTTCAGTTCAAGAACCTTATTATATAAACCTATGTAGAACATAAGCGAGGCATGAGTTCTGATCTTCAGTTCCCTGGATTTTACAGTCACAAAATGTTTATAACAAGGATTTAAGACCAGTATATATATGGTTGTAGCTTAATAAATTTGTTATTATTATATTACAGTACAGAGGTTATTTTAATCGGAGGGGAAAGGGGAATTTTGGTAATATTGATTAATATACCCATTACTTTATTCTTAAACTATTACTTTATAATTAAGTTGTATTATTACAACTTAATTATAAAGTAACAGTTTAAGAAATAAAAATTAAAATTAATTAGTAATAAAAGTTAGAATAGTTATTGTTGCTGGTAAATGATACGATGTTGTTGGTCGAGACGATGTATAATACAGATGATAATAAACTGACAATATGTACATAGAAATAATGATCTTATATACTAAATAACAATAGGAAAATGTAAGGTGGGGTGACACAGTTTAGACACAGCAGTGCCTAGTAGACAATATTGAATTTATCTTACTAGACATTATTAAATGCAATTATTATTTTGATGTATCTAGGTGACTGTGTCCCATAGTTATTATATAAAAAATGTTGACTTCACCTGACATAATCGGACACACCGTCATGAGCGATGTACGGCGGGACTAAGTTCTGTGTGACCTTGCTATTAGGTGCTTGCAAAACTTACACACCCAGGGGCGAACAAAGCGAAATGTTTGTCAATAGATCATGACCATGCAGTCAAGTATACACTATTATGTAGAAAAGGGTAGTTTAGAGTAAAAGCTTGGCAAAACTTTCAATTGACATATCGATCTAACTATTAATATATTCGCTACCGTCAAAATAATGGAAAATCATACCAGGAAACCAATTTATTTTAAGGCGAATTTTGATTAAGTACATACGAATATTTAAAAATATGGATGAATGCTGTTATTATTATTATTTTAATAAAAAAAACATGTGTCGCTCACTCGGATCCT